TGTGAGCATACGCACATTTGCTCCATTTAAGTCAGTCGCTTGCAGGGAAACGTCCCCTCTAAACCCAAGCTCCCCCCCAATCTCGAAAGCTGGAAACATTGGGGTACTCATAGAGCAGATCGTATATCATTCCAATTACGAATGCCCAGCTCTTTTGGAAAACCTCCAGTAATCAGCTTCATAAGACTGATTAATTGTTCTCACCCACCAGTGCTTATAGAATGGGCTTTGAGCAAGATCAGCATTCTCAGCTCCATTTTAAAAGCAATCAGTTTCCTCCATAATATTTCTTTGTTTACTGGGTCAAATGCTATAATGGTTGCAACCCATTATTTTCTCTGACTGATATTTTTTATAGTTAGATGGTTCGAGGCAGCACAATAAGCAATAGTGGATCAAATTTGCTTCTGTTTCTTTTACAAGGAATGTCCTTTTCATCTGCAACACTCCACTCTAGTCAAGGATAAGCTGGCATATATTTTAGACAAAATATCTGTCAGAGAAACAGGCCTGGAATGATTAGTGTCCTTTTTATTGCCCCTTTATATATATACATAGAATAAGATTACACAGAATAACAAAGTCAGAAGACACCTTGGAGGTCTTCTCGTCCAACCCCTGCCTAGGCAGGAAACCCTACAATACTTCAGACAAATGGTTATCCAACATCTTCTTAAAAACTTCCTGTGTTGGAGCATTCACAATTTCTGGAGGCAAGTTGTATCACTGATTAATTGTTTCAACTGTCAGGAAATTTCTCCTCAGTGCAAACTACAATTATATGAACTCAAATTACCATCTTTGACCCAAATGGGCATGGCAGTTATTACTTATATGTGTAAATGAACCTGCCAGTAGAATGTCCCACCAGTTGGGATATTTCTTGAATTGTTCAACTGTCAGAACCCCCCCCCCCCCTTCAAGGCAATATTGTTCTCAAAAACATTGAAGAATGAATTTGAACATGAGCATTTTAGGGCAAAAAATAGTTTGCGTAACATATTTGTAATTCTTTTATAAAATGGTTAATTCATGTTTGAGAATATCATTACTTTGGTAATATCACAAAAGAAATGTGAGCTTTCCTTCAGTGCTGCACTTCCCTCTTGTAGAAAGACCCTTTTATTGAACACAAAGCCTCTCCTCATCTTCACAAGTGTGCAGCAGAAGCCCTCAAAGCAAGGAGGATGGTCTCCTGAGGAGATATTTCTCTTTTGATCCTTTCTCTCTCCACACTATTATCTCAATCCCTGGCCATGAAACCTACAATGGCCATGATGAAAAGCAGCTCCTGAATTCTATAGTGAAGAAATTCATCACTCAAACACCAACAATCCACTCACTTTACCAGAAAGAGAAGCACAAACCTGGGCGACTTTGTAGGGGCCAACAAATGTTGACATATGGATGGACATGTCTCTGAGAGCTCCATCAACCATCACCAAAAGGTTTTCCTTCCTTCCACAGCTGTAGTTGGGAACATTGGCTTCTCCTGTAGAGAGCATGTCCAGCAAGGCATCTGAAGTGCCAAGGGTGTTTTCATAGTTGTCATGGATGTTATAGCCAAAACTTTGATTGTGCAGGAGGTGGTGATTTTTATTAAACACATCAATATTGAAAATCATCAATAGTATTCTTTTTTTTTCAAAAGTTGAGCTAGTGTAAGACATGCTCATGTTAATATTAGGATCATCAACAGCAAAAAGTCAATACATTTTCTCTATTTAACCCTCTTTTTCTCCACAAGCTGAGACTTAACCCAATATTGATCCAAAACCAGAGGCAAATGATACCCATTAATATTTGTGTGGGTTAAGAATATTGGATGGAGATAGTTCTCCAAAAGGATAATAAAAATAAGAAATATACTATTATTTGCAGTAAATAAAAGAAGAAGGGGGAAAAAAGAGTGTTAGAACTGCAAATGGAGAGACTGAAACTCCATCACAGTGAATGACTTACAACTGAATCTGTCTAGAAGGAGCCATGTTGAAAGGTAATGTTGCAGGTGTTATTTCAGATGCAGAGAGGACTATACCAATGAGAAGTTCTCCTGGCCTATAATAGCTCCATGGCTTTTCTCCATCCTGACGGTCCAAATTCAGTGGGCATTTCACTCTAGGTTTCTCAGAGACTGGCTGAGAAACCAGCAGCAGCATCAGAAACAGAAGCAGGAGGCCCATAATTGCTGGGTCTGAATCAATCTCCTTCCTGTTTCTAAAAAATAATTAGAAAAATTCAAAGACTCTGAAAGGATGACATATTTTGTGGCTTTCCTGATTCAAACAGAGACAAACCAAGATTCACCTGGAAGAAAGGGAAAGTACGTTCAACAGCACAGTTCCTACCTGTCCCATAACTGGAGCCACAAAGAGTATAACCTCTGTTATTTATACTTTTCTAATACAAGATCCCTTTCATGTTGCTTCAGTCTGATCAGTCACTGGAGAAGAAGGAGAAAAGGTCTCAAGCCCTGTATTTAGATAATTGTAGTGAGAAGAAACATATCTTGGGATCCTGAACTTCATCCATGTAAGGAAGGGCAGCTGGAGAAAATCTTAGTGAAAATATTTTGCCAGAGTTTTGGCAGCGTGACTATTATTATGAGATAAATCCCCAGGAGCAAAACACAGCACACAGCACATAGAGCATTTATACAGTTAATAGTGGTTTATATACAAATATATATAGATGTGCACATGGAAATAAATTCCTTACCACTCAGCTAAGAACACAAGGAGAGTAATGAGATACATGAGGAGAGAGAGAAATGCCCTCTAATGGCCACCTCACCAGAGTCTCTACCCCACCAGAGTCTTAAAGAGATGATTCAAGTATTGCTGAATCATCCTCATTGCATCAGCCTACAGATTACAGTTTACAACCTTACATCAGATGGCAGCTATTAAATCATCAGTACCTGACCTATTTATATATTTCATATTAGTGGAAAACCAGAGACCCCTTGGAGCATTCTTCTGTTGTGGCCTTATTCCTTCCTGTTAGGACATGTCCAGAAAGTGATTCTGGAGCAAGATACTTCCACATCCAGCAAAGTGACTTCTGCTGTCCTTCAATGTGGCCTCTTGCCTCCAGGGCCTGGTAGGGAAAGTCACTCAGAGCTGTGGAGTTTGGTGCCACTCTAGGTTGGTGCCACTGAACTTTAGTGCTCCCTGTGCTTTTATTCCATGGAAGCAATTAGGATACTTGAACCCAACCTAATATTAAGAGTTGTTTCTTTTCTTTTCAACGAAATGTCCATGTGTTCATCCTAAATTAGACCTGGCTTTATAATTGCTTGTCACTGAGGGGAAATTTCATTTGCCATCAGTTCTAGAAATATCAATTTGCACAAGAGCTGATTGAGTCACAGGAAAGTAAAAGCCTTTGGCTTGCATCATTGGCTAAGAGATAGATAATGATGGAGTGGATAGAAGTTTTTGTTTTAGTTTCCTTGCAACTCTCTGTGTTGTCTTTCCATATTGATACAATAAAAGCCATTAAATGTTGATGTTCCTTAGTTTGAATAATAAAATGGTGCTGTGAGGTCTGCAGTTGAGATAGTGGCACTTTTTTTGCCCCAACCACCAAGAAGTTGGTTTAGGAGGCCTTGTTGCATTTCCTCTGGTTGTGTAGGTGCACTTGTTGTGGAATTTCTTTGGTGACATTCCCATCTCTGAGGCTTTATTTGAAACTCACCCCAGAAGACCTCCACGTGCTTCAGCGGTACAGTTCAGAATCCCCGTGTTCTGAATTTTCTGGCTGATTTTGTATGGATTATGTTTCCTATCTGCAGTGGGAAAGTTAATATCTACATCTCAGCCTGGAAGGGAGAACTGGGAGTTTGAGTGAGAGGGGAAGCTGGTGATGGGATGGGCAGGTCCATCCTCACAATAAGGAGCTATAGGAGGACGAATATCCCAGTTCTATTATTTGAAAGCTGTCCCATTATAACGTCCTCAGCTTCCAATCTCAGTGCGTGCTAGCAGATTTTTGGTGACTCCAGCATAGTTTCTGAATGCAAGTTTGATGTGTAGAATAGATAATTTTTTTTGGGGGGGGGGGCAGGCGTCAAGGTCAAAGCACCCCTCTCAGTTGGGAGCCCTGTGCAGCATGGATGGTCAGCCAGGAACCCTCTCAGGAGGCGAGTCCAAGGGACTTCAAGGCTAGGAAAGCTCACCAGAGTCTAAGGTGTTTGCAATCATGTTTGCATTTGGCCAGCCTCAGCACACTCAGCATTGGTGGGACCCTCTCAGTCCCTTTGCAGGACAATTGCAGAACCCCAATGAGTGTGTTGGGTGAGTGTCCCACCCGGTGGTTGACAGTTGTGTGTGCTCTGCAGAATTGAGCCTTGAGTTAAACTCCATTGACCATCATGGAAGCATCTGTTCTCCTTAACCTGGATTGGGGAGAAACCCTCTTTCCTGAGGTGTGTGGAATCATCAACTGAATTAACAGGCAAAGTTCAAAGTTGATGTTTAGGCCATCCAGGTTTTTCCCCCAGTCTTTTCTGCGTTAGATTTAGTTAGCTGGGACCATCTCAGCCTGGCACTGTCCACAGGGAGGTGCAAAGATGTTGGACTTCAGAGGGAACCAGATTAAAACTTGCTTCTTTCTCCCTTGCACCCCCAAATAAACCTCTAAGGAACTGGGGACTCATTGATGATTGGCCACAAAGCCCCTAAAAATATTGAGTGAATTTTTTTTAAAAAAAGATTTATCCCATTTCATACATTCCAGGGGTTGGGAACCTTCTCCTGTGCAAATCTTTGAGGAAGGCCATCACGCTAATCCAGCATCTGGTTTATATATATATTGGCATGGTGCATTATGCCTATGTATCAGTTCTCTTTCCTTAACCTAAGTTAAGGGTGTTGGGTGAGCTCACCTGGATTTACCACAAACCATCTTTGATAGCCAATGAAGTATTTTTTTCACAGAAGATTGAAAACTTTTTATAGGATCTGGTTTTGGATTCAGAGTCCATGGATTTCCAGCATGGCAACATTCACAACACAAGGTATCAGTCTGGTTTGTGATCTTGTTTTGCAAAGGAAGGTTTAGCTCCTCATTTCCTCTTTTCCACAACCAATGCCTTCTCTTGTGATTAATCATGTCTGGGGTTTCCCTAGAAAAAGCATTCTTGACTACTTTTTCTTTCATAAGTATTCTTCATCATTCTTGCATGTTAACAGGTTACTAAGGATGAAGGCCTGTCTGTTTTGAGATTTTAGCTTCTTAATAAAAAGATATTAGAGAATGGGGGTTTCAGCTTTTCCTTCAATGGCAAACCACTTCCTCATAACTTTGCCAAAGTCTCTGGCTCAGCTCCACCTGGGGTCTTTCTGACCACCTTCACATAGTTGCAAGCCTGAGGCTGTGAGCCTTGCTCTGCCTGGCTTTGTTCTGGCAAACCCAGCCATATGGCCTACAGCTCACTAACATTGGACAGATTTTTGTAGTTGGTTGTACTGTAGAGAGATGACAAGAACCTCCTAATCCCGACAAGGAAAATGGGTTTGAAGTCCTTATAAAAGGCAACCGGGGGGGGGGGGCAATGAAGATTGAGGAGAAAACAGAATACTTTTTAACTTGGGGATTATTTTATCAATGCTTAGAAAATAGAAGCAGAAATTAAAAATTTAGAATCAAAGAAGATATGTGAATAACAATGAAGCAAATGTGTAACTAAATAATGGATATTGAACAATGTTAATTGGCCACTGCTGCTATTAGTTTGACTGAGGTGCGGGCTGTGGTGGTGGATATTGTTGCTCAGGCTCCCATTGTGGCTGGAGGTCATCAGGTTTCATGGCCTTGGCTTGGTGTTTGCACACATTTAGGTTTTTGAAAGCCCCATACATGAACTTTACATCTTGCTCAGTCATCGAGTCAGCTTTGTCGAATTCTTAAACCTCTTCTTCTTCCTTTTCCAGCTCCACTCATTGTTCCCACAGGCAAATGTCACACTTCCATGAGTGAAAGTCACCCCATGGTCTTACCCTCCCATTCCTTTTTCCCAATGCCCAGAGACCACCTGGATCTCAGCAGATTACCACAACTTTCCACCTCTCGTGTCCATTCAGAAAGATCCAGTCCCTCTTCAAAGCCTCCTCCCAGCATTCAATCTCCCCCTGATTTCTTCCTTGAGGCGATATCCTGAGCATGGTCCACACAGTAGAGATGATATCCTCTTTGGGTTGACCACACTATCAGATTCCACCTAATGTCAGACCTGGCCCAGTCTGATCCCTTCGGAAAGGAAAACTCTCAACTTCATTTGTCTACAGTGAAAAGAACTTTTATTTTAAAATGCTGGCTGCAGTAAAGTCAGGAGGAATCTGATGTTCCTGTGTAGCAATATAAAAAACAAACCCTCAGTCCCTTCCCCCCCATGTCTAGTCTGTCTTTAGCCAATCCAACATCACTGAGACATTTTGGGAAATGCTGATGAAATTCCACATTCTGGGTGAACAACCTTGAAGATGCCTGTCACAAACTGGTTCCAAACTGCTTTGCACCCCTTCAACTGTCATTCCCCACTCCCTAATTCCCACTATAGAAGCATATAGGTTCCTTACCCAACTTCCCCTCTTTTTCCTGATCCTTCAATGGCAGGAGACTTGTGAGGTGCTGAGGAATAGCTTATCTCCAAAAATTGTGAGTCTTCAATCACTAGAGGCTTTAAAAAAGTTACTAGACAATCATTTGTCTTATATAGTACAGTGTCTCCTTCTCAAGCAAGAGGTTAGACTAGAAGACCTCTAAGGTTCCTTCCAAGTTTATTGTTCTAGTCAAATAGAGGCAAATGAAAGATATTAAACGACAACAAATTGTAATCAATAATTGTCATAAGTCTAAGAAATTATTTTAATATCAGTTCCCTACTTTTATCGTTAGATGTTCCTTTCTGTTTAGGTCTGGTCTCAGGATAATAATGTAGCATTTGGGGAAGAAGATGCAGCCCAGCAGTCCAGCACTGGAGGCCAGGATGGAGAAGACCTGCACAGTCACCATGGACTTTCCTTTGCTGCTCAAGTAGGTGGGCAGGAAAGAGACCCAGACACTGCAGAAGACCAGCATGCTGAAAGTTATCAGTTTGGCTTCATTGAAGGCCCCAAGTGCTACATTATTATCCTGAGACCAGACCTAAACAGAAAGGAACATCTAACGATAAAAGTAGGGAACTGGTATTAAAATAATTTCTTAGACTTATGACAATTATTGATTACAATTTGTTGTCGTTTAATATCTTTCATTTGCCTCTCTTTGACTAGAACAATAAACTTGGAAGGAACCTTAGAGGTCTTCTAGTCCAACCTCTTTCTTGAGAAGGAGACACTGTACTATATAAGACAAATGATTGTCTAGTAACTTTTTTAACATCGGTGCCCAACTTTTATCGTTAG